GGCTTATCTTATTTATAATATAGGCCACACACGTGTGTTTGAAACTAAATATAAGCATTTTCATCATGGTTTTATTTATTACAAACATATTCTTTCACCATCAATACACATTGAGGCTCTTCTTTTAGGTTAAAACGATCTATCTTAAATTTGTCTTTCTTGAGTTTGGGACTATTATGAGTTTAAATAACTTAAAAGGATAAACCTAAAAAAGACCTAAAAAATGCGCGAGAAGCGCGCAAATTATTTTTGTGTTTTAAATTCTAATTTCGTCGGAATTGATGAAAACTCCCTAAAATGTGCAATTTATAGAGGAAATTGGCCTACCGTACGAGAAATGCGCGCAAAGAATTTGAGAATTTTAGGCACTTTCAGAGGATGCATTTGTCAAGGGATGGGGAAAGATTTTCCAAAGATGGATATTTTTCCCTTGTCCCCCGGTGTTTTTAATTATAATTTCGTTGGAATTGATCAAAACTCCCTAAAATGTACAATTTTTAGAGGAAATTGGCCCATGTTAAAAAGAAATTCAGGTTTTTAGGTACTTTCAGGGGATGAAAAGGGCATTTATAAAGGAGTGGGGAAGATTTTTCAAAGATAGATATTTTCCCTTTGTCCCCCAGTGGTTACGCCATCGGGCAGCATAGATCAAAGGAGTTATGACAGTTTTTGAAGTGGAGAAGGGGTTGCAGGGTGTTGTGAGTCTGGTCATTATATTATCTTATAAATTTAATTTTGCAATTTGTAGGAAAACCGCATGTAGTGAATGAATGATTAATTATGCGATTGGGGAAATCCTTTGTACAGCAATTTTGAAAACATATGAAGGAATCCCGTTTGCTTTATTTGTTCAGACATTTCTCAGATAGGCTATTAAAGACAAATTCTCATGACACGGATTCAAAATTAAATACTTTTTCTGTAAAGTTCGGTTTTCATACAATCGCTCACCCTATCGGCGACAGTCACCGACAATTTTCAGGAAGGTTGAACGGTGAACCTGGTTCAACTTTACCCGGTTTGCGTTGCAGACGAATCGGGGTGCATTGCTAGCTATCCTGAAGCTTGGTTTCCATAGAATCGCTCACCCTATTAACGGCAGTCACCGACAGTTGTCAGGAAGGTTTAACCGAGCTTGACGCAATCGGGAAGGCACCCCGATTCGTCTGCAACTCAATTGGCAAAGTTAAACCAGGTTCAACCTTCTCGACAGATGTCGGCGACTGTTGCTGATAGGGTGAGCGATGCTACGGAAACCGAGCTTTTTCTATACCATCTGCATATTTGGATAATAGGCCTACAAATGTTTGAAAAATAGTTGTTCAAAACATCGCATTTTCTTTATTATAACTGTTATTGTTGACTTTTCTTTTCCAATGGTATAATACTGTACGTCTTATTACATTCCATGTTTTGTTAACATCAAAAAATAAGCAGATGACTTTGGTGGTCTATACCATAATAATATTACATACAAAGGATTTACATTTTTAGCGCATAATTTCAACGGATCAAATTTAGCACACATCAAGTCATATCTTAATTTATGGACGATGTTATTCATTATTTTGTGGCTGATACGAATTAATTCGTGCAGGTATATCAGGTATGCGTGATACTCTTGCTTTGTCCCTTGGTACAGTACTGTCTTGATTTTTAATTGCCCCCACGCCAACTTCTTTAGACATATCCGGAAATCTAAAGGCGCCATGATAATAAATTCTCATCTTTACACCCTCCGTCTGTGAAAGACCCTCCCTGTTCCCCTCTATTTTGAATTTCTTTCTCGTCACTGGGACCAATACGTCGGAAACAGGTTACGGTATTAAACAGAAAAGTACTGTGGGATTCTATCAGATCAGATAATTATTATTAGTTCATGAAGTGGTGATTTAGTCTGTTCAGAAACGATTTAGAAGGATTTTTCTGGTGCGGAGGTATTTTTTCTTTCTTTTTTTATTTACCGCCGCCCTGGAAGAATATGGATTAGACTCCATTTACAGCTCGTCCATAAATTTTGGGAGGACAGCCTGTGTATATATACAGTATTATTATCTCATCAATATAATTGATATCAATTTAAATAAGTACTTTTATGTGAATGGCTTGTATACCGTACCGTATTTATTATTCAAACAAACGCCCAGCTCTGAATAAACTCCCCTCGAATAAACGCCTCACTCTAGAAACTCATTTGGAATAAACGCCCTCTCCCCACCCCCAAATGGCTGTACACACGTCTAATAGAAGAAAATGTTATTCTCAACACATTCTAATAATGTTCCACTCCAGTGAATTATATTTTTTTAAACATAGTTGTGATCAGTATGTCATTATGATCACGCAATCATACATTTTGACGGTAATGGACCTTTCCGCTAAGCTCCGCCTCTTGAATATTGTTGCTAAGGTCCCACAAGACCGGGCAGTGTTAAAACATACGCGAACACGTGCCTTTGTTTGACAACATGTGTGTTTGTAAGACGCATTCCTAGCACTATTCTGATTAGTCAGTTGTTAAATTTGATTGACAATCCGGAAAGGTCTATTATGTGTTGTAGTTCCACATTTTCCCGGGAAGCAGTTTATTATTGTTCAGGCTAACGAATTGGTTTCCCCCTTCAGAAAGACTTTTTGCATCTACCTGTATTACCCGTTTGAGCCAAGAAGACATTGATGCACGTCTTAAAACGCAATGGTAGACCTTTCCTAAAATTCGACCCCTCCTATTATACCCACACCCGGAGTCCATAAGATTTCAGGTTTCTTACCCACCAGAACCAGAACCATTGCATTAACTTGTCATTTAGCGTGCCCAGACAAGCACCCAGGTTTGAGAATGCTATTGACCACGAAGTTAGAATATGCTGTAAATGGCAACAAATTTTGTCTGAATACAGTGTAGGCCTATTGTTAAATGGTAGAAAATTTAATTGTTCCTTCTCATAAATTAAGATGTTTATTCCTTGGTTAATAAACAATACAAGATAAATAAATGAACTATACCTTTTACGCTCCAATTCGAGACCATTTTAAAAAAAAAACCCCAAAAACAAATAAAAATTATCAATTATTTAACACAAACCTAACCCTCTAATAAAGATTCTGAGACCAAGTTTCAGGTCAAACTTGGTCTCAAATTGGAGGGCAAACTGTATTTTAAAATGTATGCAATGAAATGAAATTACTGTTCTCATTGTACAGCATACTTAAAGTACATAATCTTTTGAAATTGAGTTTAACAAAAGACACGTCAGGTCTGTGCAAATTAATTAAGTTTCTGAAATTTCCATGAATAATTATTCTTTTTTCACTTGCTTGGTAGTCAATTTCACATAATCCTTAAAATATCCTTTACGTGTGGGTGTGTGTGCTGACATATGTAGACATGGAGGGAAGAACCGGACTTCAATGCTTAAGAGTTAAGCTTTAAGTCAAGCCATACTGTAATTTTTTTTTTTTTAATGCTGCATCAGAAGGCATACAAAAGATACTGATTGGCGAAATATTGTTTCGGCCAAAAACGAACCAGCTGGACCACTTCTTCTGGCCTTTCATTTTAAAAGCTGGCATCAGTCCTAATAGACTATGCAATATTTTACTTGACATTAATTAATGTTAATTACATTTACAATGAAATTAAGTGGCGTTTACTTGAGATCCATTTTACACCAGAAAAACACCTCCCTCAAATAAAACCCTTCTAAACAATAAATGTCCCAGGGCGATTATTCAAATAAATACGGTAATTATCTTTTTTGTAAATTAATAATTATTGAAAATTTTTATTTAATTACATTATCTCATCAATTATTATATAACTTATGATTCTTTTTGTGTGCAGTTATAATGGTTACTTATTGTAATTTGTTCAAATGTGCGAGTTTTTTTTACATCAGTTTCATTAAGTATGTTATGGTGTTTTATGTCGAACAGTATTTTTTGTAAGTTGCTGCAATTCAGTGTTTTTATACTGCTATGTGAAATAACATATCTTTCACAAATAAACCAGAAATGAATGATTGAAAAGACTAAACAATTTATTTTATCAGTATAATCAAAATCGTATATACAAGAAGTTATTCACAATTATTATATATACAGGATCCATTCCAAGTTGCCAAATCGCCAGATGGCCAACTCCACTGTGATACAAAAATTGTTAACGAATGCCGATTATGATGATGATGATAATAATAATAATAATAATAATAAAAATGTATCAAAAAACCCCAAAGCACTTAAAAACAATTATATATAGCATAAAAAATAATAATAATAAAAAATACATTTTCTATCTATGAATGTTTGGTTTCGGACTTAAAAATATCAAATCCAAGTTTTTGGAATGCCTGACTGTGAACTCCTACTCTGTGATAAACTTAAGAGATAATATAAATCGCTGTAGTAATCAGGGGCGGTACCAGCAGAGGGTCTAGGGGGGGAAAAGGACCCCCGTCATGGACCTCTGAACCCCCCCACTTGGACCCCCGTTGGGGAATTTTCAGCAAGGTCGTCGGAGAAAATCTTGAGCGCCGAATGTACAATTTGAAGCATGTCTTACTAAGCTGTCAAAATTTTAAGAATTAAAAACTGTTTAGTGCGAGCAGTGTTATCGTATGTACGAGGTGCTGTATTCTTTTACGATTGTATGGGTTGCAGTGGTGCGCCAGCTCTTCCCCGACGGGGGCTGGTACTTTTGACAGGGAGTTAGTACCTCCGAGAGGTAGATTAGTGCCCCCAACATCCTTTTTAATTAAAGAATCCCATAATTAACACAAAATTTTATTATCTTTTAATTAAAAAAATTCCCCGACAAATCAAATTTTTTCCCGACAAATTGATTTTTTTCCCGATCGGAGAGGAGGGGGGGGGGGTGGAATCCCTTGTCGGGGAGATTAGACCCCTCGTTGGGGAATTCCTGGCGCCGCCCTGATAGTAATATAATGTCTACTGCTTGATATGGGGAGGGGGTTTTGTTGGGGAGAGGAGGAGTTGGCTAATTTTTATTGGGGGACTCGATTATTGTAAAGTTTCTGATTGAAACTTTTGCTCACTATTTGTTTGTTTGTTTTCACTGTGGACTAACCATTGTATTGTACTTTCTTTTTTGCCAAGTAAAGAATAAGAGTAAGCCTACAAGAAAGAGATTGTTGACAGATTGTTGACTTTTTAGTTCTTTAAAACATGTTTCATTTCTTTCTTTAGCTTATGGGCAATGGTATCATATCATTCCTCTCAAATTGGATTTACGCTTACAACTTACTGCTCCTGCAAGCAGTAGACACAATAATCCATAGATTTAAAAACCCATTTAAATGGGGAAAAAATACTAATATAGTGGCTTCTTTACACACATGCCATTTCTGTAAAACTTGTTCCCAACTGTTACAAAAATTACTTTTATATTCTAGTATAAATAAAAATTAATCATAACTTGAAGATAAAAGTTGATGTCACTGTTTTGTAACGGTTGGGAACAAGCTCCCTGGACAATTCCTTTTTCAAGAAACCTCCTGTGGAAAATGTAATGCCATTCTGAAAACCTGAATGTCATCGATGGTAACATTTGGGAACAACCACCTTGGACGATCCTCAGTTGAAACACTTAAAAAGATGTATGTTGATGTTAAGACACATTGATTGGCTAATTGATATCAAGTGATCTTGCTTTCTTTCAAGAGACTTCCTGTTGGGAAGATGTTCTACTTTCACTATGCCATCTACAAGAAATGAAGATGTAACTTGAAACTTAATAATCATGTAGAAAAGATTTAAAATAATATTTAATAACCATCTAGAATAATTAACATTGAAAAAAATCACCTACAATTAAAAATTTACATAAATAATCATAATAATACAAATTATGGCTTATATAGCTCATTATGCTAAAGTCTCAATGCGCTTAACAATAAAAATAAAAATGCCAGGAAAAAAAAATTTAAGAAAAGTACAGTAAAGTAAATAATTAAATCTTAAATAACTTAATATTAGGGAAAATTTTAAACATAATCCAAACGTATTTGCTTAAGCTGTTTTTTATGGTAAAATTTTTTCATTTATTTAAATCTTAAAAAATTTAAAATTTTTGAAAGTTTTTCAATGTTTTTAAACTTTTATATTGAAATTTGACACTTTACAGCAATGTATTTTATCGTCTATTTTTACTAACTAAGGCAATGTTGATAGGTTAATGTTTCTGGTACCTAATAATTTCTTCGTAGACCTATCGCAAAATAAATCATAAAAAATAAATCATAAAGAATATATCTGCGTTTGTTTTTCGTGTGAAACACAAAAAATCAAATTTCTTACTTTACATTTTTTTCATGTTTAGGGATGTCTAAATTCAGTTAAACTATCAATTTCGTTTTATAATTATAAATCTTCATAACATATATAAAAATCAGATTTTTCTTAACAACTGAAATTTTGCCGATAATGGGACTTTAAGGTCACAGAAATAAAAAAAAATATGACATTATTAAGGATTAAGCAGAGACTATGAAATGATCATCATAAAACTTGGATGTGCTACATAGTTTAAGGAAGAGGTGATGAAATTTTGGGGTGGAAGGTTAAGGTCACGGAAATTCAGAAAATATCACATTATTAAGAATTATGCAGAGACTAATACATTGATCATCACAAAACTTGGTGGCGCTACACAGCTTAAGGAAAAGGTGATGAAATTCTGGGGCGAAAAGGTCAAAAACGTGTATTTTTTTTCCATTACTGGCACAAGGCAGAGATGCACATTATGAAGTGATTGCTGTAGTTTAGGCGAGACTTTTTTTATACCTTGTTTAGCGAACCCGCCGACTGCAAATATTGATGATTTCGAATAAAAATAAAATTTTATTTTTGGTCAATTAGCACACCTGCCGCCACGAAAAATTGGAAATTTCAGAAAAACATAGAAGTTTTTCTTTATTTTTATTCCACCCTCCGCTGCCTTGAAATCACAGAAGATAAAATATGTATATTTATTCCTAATTATATAAATTTGAAGCATTTAACCATCCTATTTTACATTTACCAATAAAATTTTATTTTTATTTTCTTCTCCGTCTGGATGATTTTAGCAAAACTATTTGCTAAAGAAGTAAACAAAATTTTATTTTAATTTTTATTCTGCCCTCCTCCGATAATCTTTAAAAAAATTAATATGGAAAACAAGGAATAAAAAAGTCTCCCTTTATTATGGAACTCTTGAGGTTACTTACTTTGGTGGAGGGGGTGTAGGTAATGGTAAAATACCTGTCATTCCTTCAATGTCAGTATCATCTTCTGGGTCTAGAATCTGTGACTCTATGTAGAAAATAAATATGTTTATATCAGGTCAAAACTTGGTATAAAGAAAATAATATGGTAGTACAACATTTCAATCCTTCACTGGGTATTTCGCATGTGTCCTGAGCAAGGCACTTTATCTACATTGCTTCTGCACCCAGCTGTACCAATGATACCAGTAAATTTCTTGGGGTAACTATGGATCAGCATCAGACCCAGGGGAAGCATTACACTCTCATCCGCTTCACTCTACTTGAAACTGGGGATAAGGAGCCCATACGAGCTCAGTGGCTCGGCCAGAGGCGTATCTAGAAGCCTTGAAGTGGGGTTGCGTATGGGGGGGGAAAGGGCTCGATGATCAGTTGAGGGGCGCTAATTCGCAAAATATGGTGATTTTAGGGGATTTTTAACTACATGACCATGATTTTTGGGGGATGACTGGGGGGAGGATGCGAGTAACGTTTGGGGGGGTGTACCCCCTCACATCCTCCCCTAGATACGCCACAGGGCTCGGCAAGGATTTAGTTTACTTTACAACATTTTAAACTTGCGGTGCAAAAACACCGCCAAATTCTATCACCACTAAAATCAAAGATTTTCAGTTATTGTTATTGTCTTTACATCAGTTAAACTTGAATTGTTTCAATACATTTTGTATAAAATTGATTGTTATTTGACCCTTTCACATGAGAAAATAAATGATTTTATGTTTTTGTTTTTTTTTTGGTCGGCCCTGACTATTTTTTTTTTTATATGACAAAAATCAAACGGCAACATACGTGGCCCATAACAGGATATGACATCAAATTTTACATATATAATTGCATTAAAATCTCAAATATAAGAGGAAAAACAATAACGAACAACACATTACACTTAAGCCAAACAAAATTATGCAAATAATAAATAAAAAAACCCATGTACGAGGAAAGGAATTAAATATAGAAAACTTAAAAGTATTAGTACAAGAATAAGCATGAATAAACTTATTATATGAGTGTCTAGGGTTGATAGTAATGTATTTAAAGATATCGAGGGAAAATATACCATAGAAAGATTTTGAAATGAAAGAAAAAGAGAGATGTTTAAATCGATTTTCATCTGAAGTGAGACGTAGGATTTTAAGTCTTTGTACATAGGATAGTTCACCCTTGCGGGCCGGAAAGCATGCTCTTGTCATTCTCCGTTGGGTCTGTTCTAACGCTTGTAGGTGACCTTCCGGTTTTGGATACCAAGCCGGAACTGCATATTCCATAATTGGCCTACTGATATGTTATACAGTTTAGTAATAACAAAAGGATCATTGGATCTAAAAATTTTTGCTGTTTTAGACTTAACTGAAAATACGTGGTCCCCCAATCAAGTTTTGAATTAAAGGTAATCCCCAATTATTTCATACACAAAACATGATGCGATATTTCAGAACCAATGGTATATTCAATACAGTTAGTTGAATGATTAGGTGACCGAGTTAGGCGCATAACAGAACACTTCTTAACACTGATGTTTAATTCATTCTGAGAGCACCAATGAACTACGGCATCCAGATCATCTTGAGTCAACCATACACAACATGCAACTTTCCCCGACAACCATAAATACTTATTGTTGCTTTTAGGATGCGTTTCTTTTTTTCTAAATATTTAAATGAAATGAATAAAATATGTGGTGAAGACAAGCCAAACCAGTCACTCTTCGCAAATGGAGGTTATGGCCCAAACATATTGGAATGTCAACATTTTGAATTCTAAACATTTCTTTATAAACTGACATTGATACATGTATATATGTCATGCTATGTTGTTATTTTCACATTTTTTTTATGTTAAAACATCATGATTTGGTGATGGTCTCTGCCTGAGAAATAATAAACTGTAAAGGCTGATTTCTTAAATACTGTTCTTTAAACAGGTGCATGTTTAAACTCCTGTAATTTCATAACGAAATTTTGGATTTAAATGATTCTTTTATAGTTTTTTTCCTTCATTTTACTGTTTTACCCTGTATCAATAACTAAACAGATTTTTTGTAAGGAGTGAGTGGTTTGGTTTGTCTTTGCCACATAAATGTCCATATAACTTGTTATACATGACAACATTTATTATTTTTAGGTCCTTGTACATGTTCATCTGTACTTATACTGTTTTATATTCTGATGCCAAATTTTTAAACATTGGTACATGTTTTACACTGCAAAAAAAAAAAAAAGAAATGAAAATCACAATAAAATTTATAACTGATCATTAGAATAATTATCATTTAGTTTCAATACATTTCATACCTCCAGTAGCAAAAAGTTCAACACCTCTGCCAGGTGGGGGCGACATTGTGAATGGTGTCATGAAGTCCCTCACATTATTATTAGCACCTTGTCTACCAATTCCAGGCTGATAAAAGAATAAAAGAAAAAAATGAGCATTAAATAGTTAATAAAGTATAATAATACAAAGAATACTAATCGAAGTATAATGAATACCTACTTTATAATAATAAAATATACATACAAATAATAAAAATGTATAATATCATTAAAATATTGTAGAATAAAGTATGATAATTTAGTCTAACAATTAAGTTATATTAATGAATAATGAAGTGTAATGACAACAAAATAATTAATAATAATTAAGCATAATAATGATTAAGTAAAGTATTATTATTTGTAATATGTAATTTGTTGTGAAATTTCTGAATAAATGTACACTGAACATATACAAAAATTAATTTATTATTCTTACGTAAACAATTAGCCTGTTAAATTTACAATAAAAATTCTTGAAAGTAGACAAATCATTATATACAGGCAAGTGACTATGTACAGTAAACAACTTACCAATGGAAATGTTGGTGCCTTCATTGGGCTGTTTGGAGGAAGCTGAGGGGCTGGTATAATACCCATGGGTGTGTCAGCCTAAAATAAAAAATCCAAAAAAAACCCAAAAAAAAACTGATTACAGAATTTGAGAAAGAGAGAATAAAAAAGAGATACTGTAAACTTGATGTTAAACATAACAATAACTACAAACAATTTTAATGTGCCAATTTCAAATATTTTATGCATGCAGATATATAACCAAGTACATGTAATTTGTGTCATTTTATATAGAATAAAAGTATATTCTTAATTTCACAGTTTCTTGGCATCATTATAATTAAAAATAATAATATATATTAAGCTATTGGAAGGAATATTTTTGTAATCTGCTGATTTGTAGAATTTTTTTATTCATGTCTTAGTGCTAGTGTAACTAGGAGGTTGGTAATTTACATTTGTTCCCTTATGTTACTTGTATTTGGAAAGCTGTCTAGTGGCTCAATAGATAGTAATTTGGTGGACACAATCTTAAGCGGCATTGTACTTTAGTATATTTCTTATAAAAACAAAAACCAAGATTAACTCTGTCTTGACAGACTGTATTGAACTGTATTGAGAGTAGACTGAGAGTTTATTTTACATTGTCAGGGGTGTCACGTATCCCGCAAATTGCAGGAATGTACCCAGAAATATTGAGGTGACATTCACGCAACTGAACAAATCTCCCGGAGAATAACCCATCCCCCAATATTCTGGGATATTTCCGCAATTTGCGGGATACTCCTTTACTATTATTTGTCTCCTGGAAGTTAGTGCAAAATATTATTAGACATGCTAAGAAATATTGTGTAAACAGATCTCTTATAAATGACGTCTTCCAACTTCAGGACCCCTGCATTGTTCCTTACTATAGTTACTTTTCTATGCAATTTAGGCATTAATCATCCAATGGAGTGGTTACTTGATAATGCCTTATAAATATCTGTGGTTATTTTATGCTACGATGAGAATAAGACATGCTTGTAGTCTTCTAGCTATGTTGTTATGATCAATGTCTTCAGAATTCCTAAATCTAACCCATAGGATTAAATTAATAAATCACAGTTAATAAATCTTCTTCTAATGGTGGGTATGCTATGATACACTAGAGCTTACAACATTAACCAGATTCCTGTATGTACTCTAATAAGCAAGGTCATAATAAGTAAATAACTATTGCAGGGTGTAGGCGGGTTCTGATCTGTGTGGGTATGAAAAATAAGAATGCGGAACTCCAAGAATGTGGAACTAAATTCTTATTCCAATGAATACTTACTGGTTATTGTTAATATTTTAACCTGCTTAGTGGAACTAATTTTCTGCCATTGTGGGAGAAGAGAGGGTGCCCGCACACCCTCCTCAGCCCATGCTCAGATAGTCCAACAAGATTGTAAACTAGAATTTTTAGTTTTTTAATATATTTAATATATATATTTTTTTAGTATATTTAATAGCAATGTGTTTATAGTAATTACTGACCTAAGAATGCTGTTTTCTTAAAAAGTCAAAATATTTAAGAAAGTATATATCCCTATCGAGATTATACAGTAACTCACAACCTTCGATTACTATTCAACTATGCCACCAACTTTAGCTTCATGACTAAGTGGTATGCGAATTTTTTTACCGTAGGTAAGTTGAGCAAAAATTCATGAATTATTCATTAGTGTCTGAAGGCATTACTAGCGCATGCACAATCTCACTTCGCTGAACTTATTTCACTGCAGCTTTTTCAGGTTGCGGGGAGCTAAGGTTGGATTATCGGTGGGATTCATGTGTGAGGAGGTGATGCTTCCTGTAGTAGGCCTACCTCTGTGGTATATGCTGTAATAAATTATAAGCAAGCTTACATTAAAATACAGTAAACAGGACAAATAAATAGGGCCTAGCATAGGTCATATATTATATACTACTTCTAGCCTGAGCCTAGCTTTCCTCTCCATAGCCTACACTTGTTAAGGGCACATAAAAATAATTATTATATTATCACTCCCGCCAATGTCAAAAATTTGGGAAATATTGATTCGGGATGGAAAAACAAAAATTGTTTTTGCCACATCATTTTTTTCAACAGCATAAAGAAACAAATGCAATTTTGCGACTGGAAATATATTTTCTTTTAAAAAACCATAAAATTAAACTACTTTTTATACAATATTTACAATATTCTTGCCAAATAAAAACAGTCCCTCCCTCTCTATATAAAAAAAGCAATATCCTATTGTTTGGGTTTTAAAAAAAAAGACCTCATCACTTTTTTATTTTTAAAAAAGAGTGATAATCTAATAATTTTTTTCTATGTGCCCTAACATAGTATAATACTGCATACTTTAAAGGCCGAGGCAATAATAATCGGTGACCAAATAATCCCCCTTGTGAAAAATACTAGATTTCTTGGAGTTGAAATTGATCAGGAATTGAACTTCAAAATTCATATAAAGGGAACAGAAACTAAAATTTCAAAAAACATAGGTATTCTTTATCGTCTGTCTTTATATTTACCCTTACATATTCTCCGTAATATTTATTGTTCTCTTATTCTTCCGTTTATTAGCTATTGCAATATTGTGTGGGAAGGAAAATTACAAGGGAAGAGGCTGTCTCTTATACACATCTAGATGTGTATAATGCACCACGTTTAGCCCATACACATTGTTTATTTTCTGATCTCAATCTTTTAACTATTCACGACATCAACAAACTCCAGCAATGTATTTTTGTTTATGATTATATACATTCCAACCTTCCCTCAAATTTTTCCTGTAATTTTAAACCTAACTCTTAAGCCTCACATGAACTTCATTTACCTCAACCAAAACTCACTCAAATACAACACAATATCCGTTACAGCGGTACTAAATTATTTAACAATCTTCCTAACAATATAACACTGTCCTCCACAAGTAAACTTTTCTCATACAAATTAAAAAAATACCTTCTTTCAAATTATAATTAATTTAATACTTAGTCAGTCGTGTCTTTTATTGATTTATCTTTTACATCAATTAATTGTGCTTCCTCTATGTTTATATGTCTTTTTAGTTCTTCTTTATTATATATTTACTTATTACTATAATATATTATCTGGCTAGCCCATCACAAGTTTTAATTGGAATTTGTTTCCAATTAATTTTACTTACAGGGCACATGCCTCTTTCAATTTAAATTATATTTACTAAAATAGTGTATATACATATAATACCTTAGATATTTGTTAAAAAATTATATATTTTTTATTGTTATATTGTGAAAGAAATAAATGTTCATTTGATTTGATTTGATCTAAACTTCTTATCATTCTTATATGATATGTGGAAACATTATTATATTAGTCTTATTAATTTTTGGAAAAAAGTTAGTAAGCCTAAATCGTAAAAACCAGGCATAGAATCTTTATATTAAAGAATCCTTATGGTGAGCTGGATAGCTGTGACTTTTGGGTAAATTATTTAACTCTGAACTTGGGTCTGTCATTATTCATATACATAAAAATAAAGGATTGCCAGGCATTGAACACGATACGGGCGGATAACATACAGACTTAATATAATTTAAATTAAAAAAAAAAACTAAAGTAAGGACGCCATACAGAACAAAAGCATGGAGTGTTATAGTTTCTAACTCATCTTCTGAGTGCTCCATCGTCTGAGTCGACGAGGTTATAGTTTCTAACTCATCTTCTGAGTGCTCCATCGTCTGAGTCGACGAGTCTGCCCTTTCTGACACCCAGTCTTCACATACTGTCATATATACTTTTAATTATTACTATTTCATGTTACAAAATATATACTGTATTAGTTATTACATTTGATGCTTATGTATTTTTATTCCAGTGCAACTCCAAGCATAGCCTATGAGGCTATTAGATAACCCTTTTTTAGTTCCAGATGGTCAAAATACAATTTGCATAATTTGTTGTAGGGTCAGCATTTTAGTTGATTTTATGTGTCAAGTGCCGTCCTATTTGTTGTACTGTTTTTCTAAACTTTATTTATCGTCATTGATTAAATGACAATATCATGCAATGCAGTGTAAGCGTTTTCCTTTATGTGGTGTGTCTGTTCACATAAAACCAACCCCTACGTGGAGGGACGATAAAGGAAGAGACATTTACAGTATGTAAACAGTTATCACCAGGTTGTTTTTTCCTTTGTTTTGGTTGCAGTCGAAAGACTGCAGCGAAATACAGTAGGTTCAGCGAAGTGATATTACGCATGTGCTAGTAATGCCCTCAGACACTCTAATGAATAATTACGCATGTGCTAGTAATGCCCTCAGACACTCTAATGAATAATTCATAAGTTTTTGGTCAACTTACCTACGATAAAAAAAAATTAGCAAGTGGTATACACCCTTGGATTTTCCCATTAGGACACTTTTTTTTTGTTCGGGGTATTACATATTATGGAATGAATATTAATAAATCACACTATATCAGGTCATGTAGAACAGATAACAGAAGTATATTCAGTGACATTATTTTTATGTATCAATGTATTGGTTCTGGGTCTGGACTCCGATAAAATTATAGGAGCTTAACAGGAAGGGTGGAAATATGGAGAAATAATATGAAAGGTCCACCACACCATAGTTTAAGACGTGCAGCGTCCAGCCCTGAGCAGGCTTGATGTACTGCCTCGGGCACGATGTACATGAACCTGATAGATAGGAAATTTACAATCACACAAGCATTTTTGAGGTGGAGTAAAGGAAAATTACAAGGGAAGAGGAGAGAAAAATGATGTGATGAGTATGTTACCTGATGTTGACATAATTAATGTCAAATATTGAATCCCAACACGATGGGAGTATGTATTATACATTCTTATGTGAGTATGTTAGTATGATATGTTAACATATACAATAAATCAAATCCTTTGAAAAATGGTGTAGTCTACCAAATAAACAAATAAAAGGCTATTAAATTCTATTCGCAATTATTACATTTACTGACTAAATAAACAATGACCTCAATCAATCAACCCCATCACCGAATGTATGCTACTGTTTATAAACAATCTATCAAACCAACATATGGCAGCAAGTCAAAAAACTTCATTCAGACAATAAATCTACACAAGGCCATGACAATTCAGAAACTTAAATGACAAGGAATAATCATGGTGTTCAAACACGAAACTGCTCAACAAGTTTGAGAAAAATTCAAACACTGGTACAGTGGCACCGGACCCATCTAGTCATTTCGGCAATTACAGCAGCACAAACAGGAATTGCGCAAAGTCACCGCGCCAACTGTGCACCAATGAAAATCAACAACTAACACATATGCCACCATTTAGGAAAATTCCAACAATAACAAATAATAATAATACTGTAGTAATAACAAAAATAGTAATAATAATAATACACACAGCAACTGCATAATAAAAGAAAAAAAATAAATAAATCCAATGGTTAAGGGCTAAAATTGATAAGATTGCTTAATACTATAAGAGTAGCAGTATGGCCGTTTAAAAATTCACATCATAGAGTTGGCGTTAGTGCTGAAATATATATTTCCACTCTGAAAAGTATCCCCTTAACAGGGTGTCCCCTGATTGGGGATGTTCCAAGAGTTTTACTGTATTTATTAGTCTAATTATTATTTTGAATATGTTATTCTAAAAAATATACTTTCACATCAAAATCAGCTATGTACAAGGTGGCAATGTTCAAACCAATTTTTTTTTTTTACGAAAACATATAGGTCTAAGACTACAGCTCAAGACTCATGTATTTGGCAGCCTATTGGTAAAGTCAAAACATAAACACAAAATAATAAATCAGTGGAAGTGTTTCTCCAAATGTGATAATCAATACAGTATCTGTAATCTGTAGACTAAGGGAGCTAAGGATGCTCGCAAATGACAAGATAAAGTGGATTCAAATAAAAAAGGATGGATTGCAGCTCTAGGAAGTTTTTACAGAAGCAGTATCCAGTAAATAATAATAATAATAATACTGTGTGTGAAAAACTATTATTACCGAATACTGTACAGAAGCATGGTGAAGCATTGCTGACTGTTTTTGAAGAGTCTGTCGTAGGTAACTCTCATCTTTGATGGCGTGCATACTGAGAACAACAAACAGAACAAAAAATTATAAAGTTAAGAGAGTACATAAGTATAAAAGCAATCAGATAGAAAAAAGGAAAAATAAATAGAAGGTAAAGGTAGGAGAATAACCCATAACTTACAGCGTCATTGTGCTGAATTGCGTATGGCCATGGTCCGTGACTACCTAGCAGCCATAAATAGGTGCTTCATGGTAGATACATGTTCACATCATTCCACAACGACAGGGGCTGAAAAGAACCATAACATTGGGATACCCACCTACTCTTCCGAAAGATGCAGCTTGGGTTCTTTAAAGTGCACATGAGCCAGATGTATACACTGGACCTCCATTTTAAGTCTTTGTCCGAAGACTTGGTTCTACCAACCGAACCTTGGGCAAGGAGCAGCTGGAACCAACGCCGATGTTAAGCCTGTAGCTAGAGGCGGTAAGGCAGGGGCGCATTAACCATTGGCGCATGTGTGAGAACGCCCTATTGGTTAGCTCTAATCATTCCAAGGAATTGGATACACTATCGGTTAGTGTGCGCTATCAGTTAGCAAGTTGACCTCATTTCTATCATTAACCAATCAGATGTACCGTACACAGGCGAGGCCCCGTTTGAATAAGCGCCCCTCTGTGATTATTATTTTTTTAAACAGTATATCTTGTGATTAATTTTTTAGCAAACGATAATCTAACTAATGCTAAGATTGTGGTTGGCATGATTTCAGTTGCAGAGTGGATTCACATTTTCTTCTTATGTCAATTTCAAAATTAGGATATTTCATCCTGGACAGATAAAAGCTCCCTGGACTTTTCTCTTCTTACATTTGTCTACTTCTCGACCATTTGCACCTTTAGCATGTTTTCATGTTAGTTTGCAAGAAGCCTTGCAATGATCCTGCTAATCTCAATCGGCAGATGGCCAACAAGCTTATACAACACCACCACCCCTAATTTCATCTGCTTTTGAAACTCACAGAATTCTTGTCACGAGCCATGCTCTCTGGACGATTACGTTTTCTGCACCAGAACCATTCATAACCTTTGGTTTTCGGATGTCCTTATATAATTATTTCCATTAAAAAGTCGCCCATTGAATTTTCCAAGTTCCCAGAAGAACCCCCTCAATTTTCATATCTTTCCATAAGCACCCTCTCAATTTCCACTTTGTTTTCATAAGCGTCCCTTAAAAAGGGCAAAAAATATTTAAAGCGCCCTGGTGCTTATTCGCGCGGGTACGGTATGCATTTCCTATTTCTTATAGACCAGTGATGCCACCGTCATCATCTTGATAATTGGATCAGGGATTATCTTATATGAACGCAATGGTGAGGGCGTATGTCATTAATCTGGAACCTGCTAGCCCTTAGATGGTGTGTATGAACGTAGCCAAGAAGAGGAGCTTGGTGAAACACATGAACCTTCGTCAGATCAACAAACTAAGCTATGCTGCTCTCTTTCTACCTATGCTATAAGATTATGCAGTCCTAAATGAGAATTAATACTCATTCAATATATACCTTGTGCCAAATGACTAAACACTATTTGCAAACTTCTTACCTCTTCTGTAGAATAGTAAACTTTTTCTCCCAGCTTTTAATTGTCCTTGCTAGCTCCCTCTGTAG